AGATAAGTTGGAGACAGAAATCTAGGAAAACTTGGATAAAGGAAGGGGGGATAAAAATACAAAATTCTTCCATGTTTTAGCTAATGACAGAAGAAGAAAAATCACATCTCTAAATTAGAGGTTCAAGGTGAGATTGTTTGATCAACAGAATGAAATTGCTAGAGCCCTTGTTAATCATTTCAAGTCGCTCTTTAGAAAACCTCTAGTTGGAAGGCTTTGTGTGGAAGGGTTGGAGTGGCCAAGAGTGGTGGGAGAGCAAAAGAATTGGCTAGATAGAAGGTTTGATTTGGAAGAAATAAAGGAAGCGGTTTTTTCGATGGATAGGCCTAAAGCACCAGGCCCAGATGAATTTACTATGGCCTTCTACCATGACTGCTGGGACATTTTGAAGGAGGACATCCAAAAGGTGTTTGATAAATTTTTTAATAAAGGGGTAACAAATCCAAGTTTAAATTCTACATTCATTGCTTTGATTCTGAAAAAAGCTAGGACAATCCAATTGGAGGAGTTCAGGCCCATTTAGACTGGTCTCACCTAGGGTTGGAGCCCTTTTATGGGAAATAGCTCTGGGAAGAATTAATACTTGTTGGGAAATAGCCCTTTGGTACTTATCCCCGCACTGGTGTACCCTTTGTAAAGCCAATGGTGAGTCCTACTTTCACTTACTAATATCATACCCCTTTGTTTCTTCTATTTAGGAGTGGTTTCTTTCTTTATTTGGTTGTAGGTGGACTCCCCCTTCAAGCACTCAAAGCCTCTTTGTCTATTCTATTGGTAGCTGGATTTGGATCAAAAGGAGGGGAAGAATCCTATGGAGGTGCACTAGGGAAGCGGTTTGTTGGACAATATGGGAGAAAAGGAACCAAAGAATCTTTGTTGAAAAAGAAAGAAGCAGTGAGACTTATAGAGGCGATTATTATGAGGGTGGCCCAGTGGGTAAAAAAGTTAACATATTTGATGACGTTCCCCTAGAGACCATTGTTCATAACTATCATCCAGCCTTCATGGCATCTCCGACGGAAGGCTTTATCAAGCTCAATTTTGACGGGAGCAATACAAGAAACCCGGGGTCATCAGGGATTGGACCGATTTGTTGTGTCTTCAGATCGGAGGAAAGATCGGTAGTAGCTCTTTATTCAGGACCAATTGGATTTGAGGACTCACACAGAGCAGAAATTCTGGCATAGAGGGGGTTGAAAAGGGCTACGGAATTAAATATAAACAGTTTGATCATTGACAGAGATTCACAAGTGGTAATTGGATGGATAGAGAAGACAAATGATGGGCTATGAACATACATTAACGAGCGAAGACAATTCAAGTGGTTAACTCATGGAATGGAAATGCGCATACAGTGGGTTAAAAGGTGTGCCAATTCTTTTGGAGATGCATTGGCCAAATAAAGGGTGGGAAGAAGGCAACTGTTTTGGGCAACATTGTAATTTTCTCTTTGGGGGGAGATATAAGAGAGTTTACCTCCCCCCACTTTTGTATTTAAATCTTTTTTATTAATAAAAATTTTTCTGGTAATGGTAAAAAAAAATCAATCGGACAATCGCAAGATAACACACTGACAAGAAAAGAAAATGAGGGGGAGGTCAAACAAACTTTAATCCAATTCCTTCACCTACCCCCAAAATTCATTTGGTTCAAGATGTAATTTAGGAAATTCCAATTAACACTGTTGTAGGCCTTCCGTATGTCCACCATGCACACCAACCCCCTTGCCCTACTCCTCACTTGAGAATCAATTAGCTCATTAGCTACCAACACCCCATCTAAAATCTGCCTGTCTTCCACTACATGCCCCATTCATCTCACCAGCACTAAAGCAATAATCTCAAACACACTGTCAATAGGACTGTTAGCCTACTAAATTGCATACCATCTAGCTGTTAGTTTAGGCCATGTCAGCTGTTACCCTACTAAACTGCACACCATCTAGCTTCAGTCCACATGATGCCACCTTTCCTTATATAACTCATTGAACTTACCTATAGCTCCTAGAATTTTATTTTTCTCATGAAGCATCTGCCCATCCACCTCCAGCTTCAAAATGGCATTCTCCCTTATCCTTGAGACTTGAGTAGACTATTTTGTGGAAATAAGTAGTGTTCTAATGTCCTTCCTTCAGCCATAGGGCTCTCAATCTCTGTCTCCATTTGATCTCTTATCAATAGCCTAGTATGTCATATAAATTTTTAGCAAGTTCCCTTTCTTACCTCTCCTCTACATTTAGGACACCCCGTCCTCCTTCCTATCCAATAACCTAAATTTGCTGAGACACCATCTTCAAGATTTAAACTCATTTAAATGATCCCTTCTTCCATTCTTTTATTTTTTTTTTCTTCAGCCCTTTCATATTCATTCTCAATACATAGCTAACCAACCCTTTGAAATGTAGAGGGCACCACCACCTCTCTAACAGTCCAAACCTCCATCCACATGTGCTCAAACCTGACAGAGGTGGTTCTAAGGATCTTCCAACATGATGGTCATGTGATCAGACACAGGTCTAGGGAGAGCTTCTTGCCATGTGTCTGAAACTTCCCATCCCACTGGGTGGAGGCAGGAAACCTGTCCAATCTCCCACAGCCCACAAGTTGAGCAAATTGTCTTACTCCCACTGTCCATACTAGAACCCTTGTTTCTCTCATCAATGAAATGAACTGTATTGAAATCTCCCCCATCACCCATGGCCGACCACACCAACTTCTCACTTCATTTAACCACACCCCCCCACCCCCACTATCACCACCACTCACATATCTTCTCTACGCTCATTCTCCTATAGCCCATGCACAGTTGACAGCAGCCATTCAAATCTATCAAAATTACAAAAATGAATACACAGAAGAATTACCCCACGTCTCAACTAACAACAACCACCTACCATGCCAACTGCTGGTAATATAGACCCAATCAAAAGGCCTTGATTCCCAATGCTTCTTGTCCTACCTCCTACCCTCTCCATCTATTTTTTTATCATCAACTACCCTCTCCATCTTTGAATTTTTGAAGACAAGTACAACACAGTAGATTCAGTAATGAAAAGATTTTCTGGGTAGAATATACTCTTGGGTAGCATCACATAGTCACATAGACTTTTCGATCAAAGAAAATACCCTTAATCATCATATTTTGAACAATATATCAAACAGCTCTCTTTTTTATATCAGTAATCCTTTTGTATCTAGTTGATTGAAATGCTTTTTTTGGAATGTACAGAGAATATATGTTCCCTACCCAGTGTCTTATTGTGCAGGGATTTGTATTCAATTGCTTTTCTTATTAATGAAATACTTTACCATTTCTCGAAAAACAAATATCAGTGCTCTGTTGCTCAAGAAAAACCACAATTACTGCCTTCCTACAACCTGAATTTAGACCTTTTAACTTTCCAAGATATCACACTAAAATTGTTAATCCCAATGGACGCAAAGAAGAAGAAAAAACCTACCTCCTAGTCTCCCCCCCCCCCTCTACCATTGCCTGAAGAGCTCCTTAATTGGTTATTCAAACCTCATGTAAGCCTAGAGAGCACAGGATTTGTCAACCATCCTTTCCTTCCCTTCTCTTCCAGTACCTTCTGTTCAATCTCTAATAGAAGAGCCACGGTCTGAGCTTTGGGCTGTGGACATGTTTCTTGATAACTCTCACTTGGAGCTACAAGCCAATACTCTGCCTCCCTCAAAGTGGCATCATCATCAACTAAAATTTGATTATGCATATCCCCATACGCTGGCAACACAGTAAGTGGAAAAATGTCTGCTGCGTCACTTGCCTCCTCCCTCTCACTGTCACCCTCACAACTTCTCTTTTATCCCCCATTCACTTCTTTTGTTATACACATTATTTCTATTTATATAAAATCATCGAATCATGTACTATAATAATATTTTTTTATGAATTATCATGTACTATAATAAATGATTAAAGCATCCGGTATAAATATAACATATGTAATATTATTCTGAATAGTTGGAGATAAATACAAGCAAATAAAGCTTTAAAATAGCTTTATATTGACTAGATTGAGTAGTCATTACTTTGAATAGTCAACCTAGTTTTTGCTTTAGTCATCCCAATAGTCGCAGTTGGATCCGATTGTATCCAGATGCATCCAAATCCAATCCTATTAGCAAAATCTTAAATCCAAAAGTTAATCATTTTTAAGTTATAAATATAGAATAAAACTACATAAAGCAAAAATAGTGAATTTATTGATTATAAATTTTGTATAATTATATAAACACACACATGTATATATATTATCCAAGTATATGTGTGTATGTGTGTGTGTGTATAATACTATATGAAATTTAATCAGATTCAGATCTCAATCAGATCGGATACGATCAAATCTCAACCTTTACAATTATATAAACATATCATCCTAATCGAAAATAATCAAATCGGATGTTAGATCAGATGTCAAACTTTCAGACTCCGTTGAGAGCCCTAAGAAAAATAAGTTCCATTCTAAATCAACATTTACCATGTCAGTAATTTCTGCAAAGTTCACAAGTTGTGAACTACAAATAATAGATGGTTTAATCAAGTTAAACTACAAAGTAAATCAACCCATGCATAATGGTTATTTAACCCACATATTGATGTTAGATTGTTAGTAACCTCAAGAAGGTATTTAAATAGGTTTTAAATAGCCCATAAAAACACCTTGAAAATAAAGGAAAACAAATGGCAAGGCACAGTGTAGGCTCCAATCAATTTGATTTGAACCATATGAATCAGGATAAATGTAAGCTTCAGACAATGACCAATAGTTTCAAAAAACTTGTTCAGTGTAATATTTGAACAGGAACCTTGGGATTTGGAATTCGGGTCATGAATCTTATCATAAATCATAAGGTTTTGAGTTTTGACAACCACATAGGTAGACAGACTGACCAAGAACCAGGATAGGGAGAAAAGAGTTCAGAGCACAAAGGAAATTTAAACAACTTATAAACGTTTATGGTGAAAAAATATCACAACACCTTGATGCCTTCAAATTGAGGTCATGCCCTTCTGGTATGTCCATTTGTTCGGCATCTTCCTTGGAATATACAACATCATTCGCCTCTTTAACACCAAAGCCACTTTCCATCAGGGTCTCAGCAGCTATCTCCTTCCCATTAGCAGACAAGGTTCTGGTGGAAGAACCGTTGGAGTCATTGTCATTTAAATCAGCTTCAATAGCCTTATTAGCCTCAGAAAAATCTTTCTGTACATCAGTACCACCTTTCTTTTCTTCCAGAATTCCAACTTTTTTATCAACAGCAGATTCTGAAAATCCATTATCTTCAGAAGAAAAAATATATTTATCAAATATCAGTGGCTTCAATATCCATTATTTAATATAAAGCCCTTACGTATTCAATGATTGTCTCACTAGAACTAAAGAAATCGAATTCACCACTACTACCTTTTATGTCGTGTATATCTGTTGATAGATTCTGCTTTGAATTTCTTGGAGTGGTGGAACCTGATCTCAAGTCATCATCATTCCCATCAAGCTTGACTTCTTCGGTAGAATCTACATGGATGAAGAGGACATCAGGAAAGGAAGCAAAACAGTCATTTTGTCTGAGACAAATGCCCAAGGACAAATATACTATATAGGATCATTACATTTGGACCAAAAAATCAGTATGGAATGACAATAAAAATAGAATCCTCTAGAATAACAAGAATCAATTAAGTAATATGATGGTTATACTGAGGAAATAGAAAACCCCAATCTGTATTGGAAAATACTATTTGCTATTAACCATTCACATCAAGATTCAGAAACCTCTATAACTTCCAAATTCACGTAAAACACTTCCCAATCTAGCTTTAAATGTTATCAGAACTTAAATCACCATCATCAACATCCATGCCTTATCCCAACTATATGGAGTTGACTACATGAATCCTGTTTCGCCAATCCGTTATATTTAAAGCCATAACAGATCTTAAATACAAAACCAAAAAAAAGTCCCTTTCTATCCCACCAAACCAGATAAAAGAAATACAAAACAAATGAAGAAGACACCTTAAAATCAACTAGCTTAGATAACAACCTAAAATTAATTCAAATCTCACAAAAAAAATTAAACACAAAGAATGAAACATAATGTTTAAGAGAGGGAGAGAAGAAAGGTAAAACCCAGGAAAGGTGTGATTTCAGGCCTTCAAACAGTGGGTGGAGAGGAGGGGACACAGCAATTACCAAAGTCAGCAATCCTAGTAACTACATAGTTACTAATGACAAGTGAACCTAAGCCTCATAGTCCACTTCCTACTCCTTGACACCATTTTTTTGCACTTGAGTCTCCAACTCTCAGATATACAAGAAGTAACCAAAGCCCCAGCAAGAAGGATCGTCAGTTCAGCTTCAATCCATATTCTTACCCATAAACAGCCCCTATTTACACAATTTATTGCCTCCACTGACTATTCATCTGCCACTAGCAGTGTCAAAGGACAGCCATTTGTCCACTATTATAATTCATAAACCCTCTAGTGAAGGGTAAAAGCAGCCTCTAAATTTTCAAGTCAGAGTTCAGTGCTTGACACCTAACCCAAGCTTCACCAGCTTGAAGGTATGACTGCAAACTGTATCTGTTTGTCCAATTCAAATTTCTACAGGAAAAATGTCAGCTTAGGAACGTATGCAGTCCACCCCTCCCAAGACACCAGATAGCTAGGACCAAGATTGGATAATGGCCTTTTTATGCATATATTAAAAAATGATAAAGACCCCTTAGTAAAGGCTGGAGAGTGGGTGGGGAGGAGGTGATGGTAACACATTAACAGTTCACATATGACCTAATATTGTTTTTTTCAAGAATAAAAATAAAAATTTTATTAAATGAAAAGGCTTGGGTACAGACAAACTAACTGGGTATTAAGATTACACCCATCCATCTACAGCACAAAACAAACAACAAAATAAAACACCAACTTTAGATCACAAAACAGAGGTAAATAGTTGAGAGCCACCCCAAGACCAAACAGATTAAAATTCCTCATCATCGAGCATTTCATCTTGTCCATCTCCTTCGACTCCTTCATTCCAAGCCTCCTCTTCTCCCCCAACTGCATTCTTCTTCCCTCTTGCTCTTCTCAAAAACTTCAAAGCTTTCCTAGCGAATTCCTCTCCATCCCAAAAAAACAGCCCTAAACTCTTGCCACTTCAACATCCCTATCAACCAAAACATCAATCTCCACCCTCCCCCTTCTCACCCACCCTGACTGAAGTAGTTGTAATTGACCCCGTTTTGATGACTTGATTACCCCTTTCCTCCTTGTCCCTGTCCTCTGGCCTCAACTCCAAATCTTCTACAGTAGTTGCCGGCCATTGCATTGGAATCCCTTGAGACTCTTGACATTGTTTCCCTTAATCTCTACAGTTTTTAAACTCATATCCTTATCTCTTGAGCTTCATTTCTTGTAGACTTTCTTGAACTTGTTGGTAGGACCAGCACCGACCAGACCATTTTTTAAACATGAAAAAACTTTTGACACATGGACAAGAAAGAACTTGCCCAGCTCTGTTGCTTTCTTCAACGGCTCTGGAACAAAAGCATTTTTCTCCCGGACCTCAAAGTTCCTCTTCCAACCTAAGTCAATTCCAAGTCTCCCAACTAGAACATCAAAGAGAACACGCTCTTCTTAAGACTCTGCCCCCACCATAGTTGTCAAGGCGACACCTAGGCAACTAGGTGGTTTTCCATGGTCGCCTCGCCCAAACACCCTGGATTTTGTATACTAGGTGCCCGCCCAGAGACTTAAGCGGGCACCTACATACATCTAAGAAACTATTTTTTTTAATTTATTATTTTGATATTTTATTAGATGTTTTATTCTTTTAAAAGAAAACTGGTTATTAAGACAACAATACAACTAGTGCCTTTTCTTTTGTTTATGCATAAGGGTTTTTTTGGTTCAATTGGAGAGGGAGGAGAACCAAAGACTTAATGCCCCAGCCCAACTCCATCACACCTCAGCTTCTTCTTCTTCTTCTTCTTCTTCTTCTTCTTCTTCCGCCCCTGACTGTTCTCAGTCGCTATTCTCAGTCCTTTTTTTTTTTTGAAAAAACAGGGAATCCGCCCCTATACTCCTCTCTGCCCCTTCTTCAGCCCCTGACTGTTCTCAGTCGATAATCTCAGTCCCTTTTTCTCAAAAAAATAGGGGCCCATACTCCTCCCTGCCCCTAATCCCCTATACTTCTTCTTCTTCCCCTTTTTCTTCCGCCCCTACTCTTCTCCTCCCTTCCTAGTTCCTTCACTTTTTTTTTTCAGTTAATAGTTAGTGCACATGCTTGCTAGTTAGTCTATAGTTAGTGTACATGCTTGCTGGTTTTTTTTGATAATTCAAAAATGATTTCATTAAACAATAGGAATAAGATTTTACAAGAATCCCTTGGAGAGGCGGTCCCTAGTAGCCACCTGTCTAGCAAGACGATCAGCCAAAGCATTTGCTTCCCTACCCACCCACTGATATCTACTTGTTATGTGCCTTTTAAACATTTAACTTTTTTTATGAGATCCCTATAACTCCAAACAACTGAGTGTGGATTTGACAGCCAGCCCACAATCACCTTAGAATCCCCTTCAATCAATAGGTTCTCCACTCCTAGTTGATTAACAATCTGAATTCCCCATCAAAATTCAGTTTAAAAAAAAACCTTCTGGGGGAGTTACCCAAACTATAGTGGCTTTGGTTTTCCTAACCGAAGTGTGTGCAACTGTGGCCCAATTTCTCCAAATGTCATCGAATGAAAAAGAGCTGAAAGAAGCCAAAGATTTCAACCAATGGATAGTCCTGGTTAAGATATATTCCTTCACTTCTGTGAAGGACCTCTCTTTATCTTGGAAAATTCTAGCATTTCTTTCTTCCCAAATTGTCCATAAGGTGGCTGCTCTGAAACATCTCCACATACTCCTTCCTCTTTTTGTTAGGCAAACAAAGGTAGTTGGTGCGAATAATGATTTTACCTCTGCTGGTTGACTCCACCTACATCCAAACAAAACAAACATCCAATCCCAAAGAGTTGCAGCAAAGGAACAAGAAGCCAGCAAGTGGTAACAGTCCTCACTATGAGAATTGCGCAGTACACACCGGTTTGGGGACAAGCAAATAAAAGGCTTTTTCTTTTGTAAGTTCTCCAAAGTATTGATCTTACCAAGGTACACTTCCCAGCAGAAAACAGCAATTTTGGGGGCACCGGCTTTGTCCAAACTTATTTCACTGGGAAAGGCTCAAAAGAGATGCTCAAACAAAGGGATTTGAAGAAGGATGCACAAGTGAAAGAACCTTTTGGGAAAGGAGTCCACACCCTTTTATCAAGAGAGGAGGGGTCCAAACAAACACTCTCTAGAATGGATAGAAGTTGAGTAACACAAGCAAGCTCCTCCTCCCTTAAGCCCTACGAAAACCAAAGTCCCAGTTCAAGGATAAAGGTAAAGCTGGAGGGGGAAGAAGGACAGAGATAACCTCCTTTTTATACAGGAAAAGGACATACAAAGAAGGAAATAGGTCTTTTAGAGGTTGATTACCTACCCAAGTGTCTTCCCAAAAAAGAACCAAATTTCTAGAGCAAGTAGCATACCTTGCAAATTGAAGGAACTTGGGGAGGATGCCATGTATTGCCTTCCACGGTGTTGTTTGGGTAGCCCAATGAGATACCCCATCATCCCAACCAGAGACAGAACAGCCATGAATACTAAGCACAACCCTATGCCACAAATTTTCTCTTCCTAGAGACCATCTCCATAGCCACTTTCCAAATTCCCTAATCCCAGACCCCCTACCTCTTTACTCTGACAAATTGTCTCCCAATTAACTAAGTGATCCATTTTCTCCTCCCCCGATTCCCAAAGACAATCTCTCATCATTTTTTCTAATTTCCTAGCCTCCCTATGGGGGATCCTAAAAACAGAGAGATACTGGTAAATTGGCAAGCGTAGCCTTAATCAAAGTTACCCTTCTTCCTCCCCTTGTGATATAATTCTTTTTCCAAGCTGCCAACTTTCTTTCAAATTACTCAACAACGGGGTACCAAAATCTGCTTTCCCTAGGATTCCCACCCAAAGGTAACCCAAATAAATCAAGGGTCAAGAGGAAATAGAGTAGTCCAAATAGTTACCAATAAACTCAACTTCATTGTCATCTAGACTGACCCCTACTACACAACTTTTTTCAAAGTTGATCTTTAGATTGGAAGCTCTCTCAAAGTGTAATAATAAATCCTCAAGATTTCCCACTCTTCTTGGCTCGCTTCCCTCACAAAAATTAATAATATCATCTGCAAACTGGATATGAGTTACAGAGACATTATTCCTTCCGATCTTCCAACCACCTATTACCCCCTCCCTATCTGCTTTTGATATTAATCTACTCAACACGTCCACCACCAAAGTAAAAAGAAAAGGAGAAAGAGGATCACCCTATCTCAACCCTTTACAGGATGGAAAGAAATCCTTTACCACTCCATTCACTAGCACAGAGTAATGAACCGAAGTGAGGCAACCAATCATCCATAAGCAC